CATGAAACTCTAGAAGGTGCCATTTGGTGTCCCTACAAACACTTGCTAAATTTGCTGGGCCCCTTCGTCTTTCACAACCGCCATCATCTGGACTCCTCCAGATGGTGTCAGAGGGGTGAGAGGAGGGGATGGTGGTGGCGGAAGGCGAGAGGCAGGCGGTGCTAGATGGGCAGACAGGCGGGACACAGAACTAGTGCAAACAATGCCAAACACAGAGGTTCAGTGTCGTTCGGTGTCCTTGAAGGCTGTTGGTAGGGGCAAGAGGCAGAGGGTGAGGAGGGCAAGCAGGTGGTCGTGGGGTTGAGAGGGGCAGGTGGCGGTGGCTGAACAATTACTACAGTAGCCAGTAAAAATGCAGTGAACTATTGAAAATGTAGCTATGCCATCAATGTAATACTTACTGTGGGAAAAAAAGCATGGATGACCATAACGTGGGAAAGCAAAATGATCTCCGTGTCCCAGGTTGAAAGAACAAGTCTTACTTACATAAGAACTCATAATAAGGGCTGCTGCGTCAATTGCCACAAGGACCACACTGCCAACTCAGCGTCGTGCAAGTACTGGGCCCACCACTACGATCGTGAATGGATCATGAACGAGTATTGTCAGGTACGTGAGCATGCCGCTCGCCGCCAACTTACTAACCCCCGAACCTAGACTAATGTTGGGAAACCATCAGGATCTAAGTAGAGGGTTATGTGTTTCTTGTCAGAACATTCACCATACTTATGCCCACATTGATACTTTGCTCAAAATTTGTAAAAACAGATTTGATATTTTATTCTTCCAAGAAACACCTTGGAATTTCATAAGGCACACACCATCCACCACTAGTATGGAGGGCGATGAGGTTATCGGCGCATGGAAGCATCCCGACTAGTTGCAGATGGTACGCATTAAGGAGGGCGAAGTTCCTCACGTGATTGCCTATGTTTTGACTAGGCTCTCCCGCTATCGTCCTGCTATGTGTCGCAACATAGTCAACCATCGCGACATCCCAGGTTGTGTAGCGTGTGTGTTTGTAGATAGCAAGCGGGCTGCCATC